TGAGGGACTCTTCGGATGTGTTCTTGTGGCCGGGCACCGTATCGTATGGCACCGGCAGAGTTAAAGGAGTTGAAGGAGCAGCTTAAGGATTTCCTTGATAAGGAGTTCGTTGGCAGGCCAATGTGGATGTGTGTTCTAACTTGAGTCGACTTGGTCGGCTCCGAATTATATTGTTGAGGGATGTGTTGGTTCGATTGTTATTGAGCTTATTAGTAATATTGGGAGATCTATGAGTTACCTTTCTGGGTTGCGAGGTGTTATGGTTTGTGATTACAGGCACATATGGTGCGGTTCTATTGAGGTTTCATAGTGGAAGTCGAGTGGGAAGAGTATTGGATATTGCTCGGCGGATGGCGTATCGGTTATGTCCGTTCGGTGTATGTTGTTTGCTTCACCGTAGGGATGATGATTTGCTTTGGTTCCAGACATCAAATTGCGCGTGGTTGTCTATTTCTAGCATGGGGAGCTTGAGGTTCAGCTCTTTCAATTGAGTCATTTTCATGATTTGAGTATGTTCGGACTGTTGCTTATTGGTGCGCGTATTGCGCAAGTTGTGACTTTAGTCTGTATTGAGGTGTCATGTCACCAGAGTAGTTGTGTTGGAATTAGATAAGATCGTTGGGATCTTTAATGAATACAACGGATTCGATTTCAGCATGTTGGGAGGAATAAATATCGAGGTTCGGCTCAGAAATTTGCTATGGTCCTTGCCAAAGGAGAAGTGGCTTCATGAATGGTTGATCTAAGAAATGGTTATGGTTTATTGCGTGTTTCATTTATCATTGGCAGGGCATGAAAGTGTTGGAATGAGACCTTATTTGATAAGTGGTTTTTATCGGTATTCGGTTGTTGTGTGCCGCTGTTATGATTAGAAGTTATTGCTGCAAGCGTTTGGTTATGTGGTATATCATGTAATTGCACCTGAGGTTGCAGGTATGGGTTATTACAGCTTGTTCGGACTTATTCCTAGTATAAATGTAGATTCTGATCACATTGAAGATTTCAGAAGTGGAAATGTGGTTCTATGGTTTATGGGCTAGATTGGACTGTGAAATTTCAGTTTCTATGTGTTATCGGACATATATGAGATAGGGTGACGTGGGATCACCCCCGGGTATATGCATGGTAAGACTATTCAGTGAGTGGTTGGCTTTTGGAACAACTTTGGACACGTTCGAGGACGAACGTATGTTTAAGTGGGGGAGGATAACGACCCCACCGGTCATTTTGAGCTTTTGCACTTTTCTCGCTAGTTCTCGGGCATGACTTGCCCCGTGTGGTGTATTATGACTTATGTTAATCGTTGGTTTTGGTTTCAGGTTAATCAGAATTTATTTGGAAAAATAGTTCTCAGTTTAAAGCTTAAAAATTTGAAAGGTTTGACCAAGATTTGACTCATTTGTAAAAGATCTCGGATTGGAATTTTATGATTTGGTTAGCTCCGTTAGGTGATTCGGGACTTAGGAGCGTGATCGGAATGCATTTTTGGAGGTCCGTGGAAGGTTTAGGCTTGAATTAGCGAAATTGAGATTCGGCGTTTTCCGGTTGTAAGGTGAGATTTTGATATAGAGGTCGGAATGAAATTCCAGAAGTTGCAGTAGTTCCGTTGTGGCATTTGGGATGTGCGTGCAAAATTTCAGGTTATTCAGACGTGGTTTGGTTGTGTTTCTTATCAAAAGCGAAGTTCGGAAGATTTTTGAGTGTTTGGCTTGAATCCGATGTATTTTGGATGATTTGATGTTGTTTGAGGAGCTTGGAAGATTGGAACAAGCTTCAATAAGGTATTGGGATATGTTTGTGCTTTTGGTTGAGGTCCCGGCGGCCTCAGGGTGATTTCGGGTGGTCAACGGAGAAGTTGGAATTTTGTTGCAGCAGCTGAAATTTGCTGCTTCTGGTATTTTCGCACCTGCGGATTGGGGACCGCAGGTGCGATGCCTCATATGCGGAGAATTGGTCGCAGAAGCGAAAGCTGGTGAGGTTGGCAGGAATCGCAGAAGCGGTTGTGGGACCGCATCTGCGAAGGCGCAGGTGCGGCTACTTCATCGCAGATGCGGATTGGGTAGTTTAAGCGAAGAACCGTGGAAGCGGCTCTTGGACCGCAAAAGTGGTACCGCAGGTGCGGTGGATTGACCGCAGATGCGAAAATGCCAGGGTCAGAATGCATATATTTCACCCTTCGCGATTTTGCGAGGGTTTTCACCATATTTCATCCGGGAGGAAGCTTGGGAGAGCTAATTGAAGAAGGAATTCAAGAGGATTTCATGGAGGTAAGATTTTTGGACCCTAAACTTATTTCTATGATGAATTTTAACATTTGTAAGCTTGAAATCCATGGAAAATCAGTAGCAAAAATGGGTAATTAGGCCGTGAGATTTAAGAGACCTTTGAGTGGGGATTTGAGGGGCCATTTGGGGTCCAATTTTGATGTTCTTGATATGTATGAACTCGTGAGAGGATGAGGATTCCATTGATTTTAATTTTATCGGATTTCGAAACGTGGGCTCGGGGGCCGAATTTGAGCAATTTCGGGATTTTGATGTTAAATTGGATATTTTCGAGTGGGCTTCGTTCCCTTAGCATATTTTAATGATTTTGTACTGATTGAGGCTACATTCGGAGCATCCGGATGTCGATTCGTGAGGGCAAAGGCATTGCGGGCTAGAGTTTGGACCGAATATGTAATGATTGTAAATACTGTCCTATGGGTTTGAAACCCCGGATTTCACATCGTTGTGCTACTTTGGGGTGACACACACGTTAGATGACGAGTGTGGAGCCGTGCACCGTTGGGGATTGTGTCTTGGTCCGTCCCGTACGACTGTTAAGTCGCGTATTTGATTTGAAATCTTATGATATTCCATATTTTATAGATTGATATTATAATTTGGGCTGTATGCCATGTTTGGGGCCTTGTGCCGACCTGTTGAGACCCTTAGGGGCATTTTTACTATTTTTCCTCACTCTATTTGTTTGAAAGCATAACCTCAGTCATGTTTTACCTGTTTATTGTTTATATCTGGTTCTATCACCTTACTTCTTAAAAATATGAAAAACCGTTTGGGCTGAGTCCCCTGATTTACTGATAGACCGAGGGTCTGATTGTGAGGTTGATGACGGAGATAGACCGAGGGTCTGATTGTGAGGATAATGACTGAGATAGACCGAAGGTCTGATTGTGAGGATAATGACTGAGATAGACTGAGGGTCTGATAGTGAGGGTTTCATATTTATGGATCGGGTATATATATATATATATATATGGATCGGGTTGCACGCTGCAGTAGTTACTGTATGGTACCTATTGAGTGTGAGTGCTGAGTGTGAGAGCATGTTGGTAAGAGTTGAGTCACAAGTGACTAAGAGGCTTGCCCGAGGGGCTATATATATATATATATATATATGTGTGTGTGTGTGTGTGTATACATGTACAGGAGTGATGTTTTGCCTGAAGGGCTAGTTATGAATTTACTGTTTTCGCTCCTCTTTAAAGTGAGTTTCCATTGAACATGGTGATTTAATTACTGTTTTCACTCACCTTTAGACCGAGCCTCTATTGAAAATGTTGAACAAATGTTTTAAATAATCTTTCATTTAAACTGAAGGTTTTAAGCTACGAAAAGGATTGTGAATTTTTTTGTTATGCCCGTGGGGCTGTATACAAAACCATGTTTCACCCGAGGGGCCGGTGATGGTTTTCATCTATTTTATTATAAATGGTATTGAACCCCTACTGAAACTGTTGGAAATCATTTTTTTTCAAATGATTTTACCCAAAAACTGGATTTTAAATGAGACGATTGACTAGTATTCTGATTTGGAAGCCTGTTGTCCTTATTGAGTTTATCATAAATATGGATTCATCATTTTCCTACTGCTCAGTCTTTATTTACTCTTATTACTTACTGGGTTGGAGTACTCACATTACTCATGCACCTCGTGTGCAGATTCAGGTATTTCGGAACCCGGTAGCGGGTGTTGATTGCTCGGAGGCGGAGGTGTCGGAGTTAGCAAGGTGGCTGCACAACGTTCGCAGCACTGTTTTCCTTCTGTCTCATTTCCATTGCTGTATTTAGCACATTTTTAGACTCTAGTCGTATTCAGACCTTGGTAGATGCTCATGACTAGTGACACCCCGATGTCGGGCTGTATTTATTTCCGCACTTGTTTTATTTCACTAAATCTATACTTGTTGGGGGTTTATCCCTATAAATGACTTAAATAGACTTATTAAACTGTTAAAAATTGAGTTTGGGAATGTTGTCGGTTGGCCGTGTCTTCACGAGAGGCGCCATCACGACCTGGCCCGGTTTGGGGGCGTGACATTTATACCTAACACTGTATTTTATATGACACTTTTACCCCTTGTTGTCTTCATTTTCTTAATTTTTATTTTCTGTCATATTAGTGGATGTAATAACTTCGTCTTATTTTTTCATTATCCGATTTTGTTTTTTCTTATCCGTATATGTAAACTAGTTACTATAATATTTTATGGGATATTCACCAATAATTAAAATTACTCAATTAAGAAAGCATAACATATATATTGACTATAATGTAAAGCACATCATGTTGTCCTAAACGTAATAAATCAAATATAGGTATTTAAAATTGTTATTCACACGATGTTTTAGTCGAAAGATAGAAAATTTCTGTACATTCCTTATTCTCAGTTTTAAAGTATTGCTCCAAATATAATAGAAAGATTAAATAAGTCGAATTCATGGGCACTTTAAATATATTCTTTAATTTGCATTGTCATTGTTTTTTTACTAACTTAATATATATGTCTTAATCATTCTATTTTTATATTATGTTGCAACATAACTTGTAATAACCTCCACTTTTGTTTAAATAAAAGAAATATGGTTTTCTCAAGGGCATTCCTATCATTTCACAAAACTCAACAATTGACATGTTAAAAGACCAATCAATTTCTAGGATATAGCTAACTTTTAGTTATAAACAGATTCAGAATCCACAACAGAATATAAGGGTAGTTGTCATTTGAGGTCATCAAACAGAGTCAATGCCTCAAAATTTTGCTGATGGCATTGGACAAAATTAAAGAAAAGAAACAACAAAAGGAACAAAGAGTTGTTGAAAGATTCATAATTTCATTTCCATTGAATACCTCCTTCTTCCTTCCCTCCAAACTTTTCCTTCAAATGAATATTTTCTGCCCCTTGAATTTTTCCCATAACCTCATCTTTAAGTCCAGAAAATGTTTTCTCTTGTAGTTATCCAAGAAAATTTTCTTTGAGGTTTTGCCCCCAAAAAATATTCAGAAAAGAAATTTTGAAAGAGATTTGGAAATATCAAAAGGGAGAAATCAATGGAGAATTCGTTGGGAACTGGAGTTGTGGCTGTTTTTGCAGTCTCAGGAAGTGTTGTTCTGCTTGCCTTGAAAGTCCATAAGCACCTTCTTTCTGATTTTATGAAGAAGATAGAGCTTGAAATACGTATACATCTTGTCCTTATTTATTTATATATATGCAACAAAATGACCCTACTTTCTCTGTTTCAATTTATATAACTTATTTTTTTCTTTTAATCTGTCCAAAAGGACACAATTCTATATTGAAAAATAATTTAATTTTAAAATTCGTGGTTTATCCTTAATTAACTAATATATATATATCACTTATTTTAGATTATGTTTTTCTTAAGTTTTTTTATTTTTTCCTAAACTATATGTCCAGTCAAACAAGACCATATAAAATGGAATTGGGGGAGTAATAAATTTTACCCTCTCTAAGTATCTTATATATTACTATATTAGATCAATATAACTTGAGATTAAGAAAAATAAAATCTTAAAAACAAGGATTTGCAAATCAGATATGGTGAGTCCTTTCCTATTCAGTTTACGTTTACTTGTTAGTTCTGTTATAATGTTGATATTTCTTTTATTACATGTATTATTTTTCTGTTTAGTCTATTTTCTTTTGTGTTTTCTTCTGAAAAAAAGTGGATTATGTGCTTTCTAATGTACGTTGATATACTAACATTCGTTTTGTCCAATATCTTGTACTTCAGCTGGTGAAAATAGGTAAAAGAAGTCCATATAATTATCTTAAATTGTACCCCGTGTCTGAAGAAAGTATAATCAATTTCTCCTTTTTAATTACCACTTTAATGGAGTTGTGCTACAGAATACAATGATGTTAACTATTTTAAAGGGTAAATAGATTTGTGGTAAATTTTATTGTTGTCTCTCCTTATACCAAGAATGTAGGGCAATCAAGAAAGTATTATTTTGATAAAAGCTAGAAGTGAAATTTCATTTCGCTGCCCAATCTGGTAAGTATTTTGTTTGCTCTCATAGTACTTGATTTCTCATTCAAATTTATGTTAAAGAACATAGAAATCCATTCCCTCCTCCTCCCTACCTCCCCAATATGTAATTTATAGTTGCGCATTTAGAATTTTATACCAGCATTGTCCGTCTATTATCATAACCTAACTTATTAATGGGATTGTGTTTTGGACTAGAGAAATTTTAAGACTATATTTTACCCTGAATTGGCGTTTACTTTGCACTATTTTCAAGCAATATCAGTATATAATATAATATGTATTATTCTTTTTGGTGAAGCAACATCATTACACCCCTTAATTATAGAAGGATGTCTCAGCCACTAGCTAGTTACGTGTAATAGAAGGAAATAATATTTAAAAATGACGAAATCGCTTGTATTGACACACATGCATACATGATTCAAGTTGTTGAGGAATAAATTTGGTGGATATTTTGAATTTCAGGACTGGAGAAAGACCAACAAAAGAAGAAGGTGAAGTTCTCGAACGAAGTTGTGAAGTTAGGCGCTTTAAAAAAAAGTGAAGATGTTGATAATAATCCAAAGAGGAGGTTTCGTCAAGAAATATCAGATAGAGAGAGCATGGAATCCATGCCCTTGAATCGGCAAGCACTTTACAAAGGGATCCTCCAATATAAAGCCCTCAAAGGCTACACCTAAATTCAATTTCCCCTTTGGAGTAGTTCTCTCTTTCCTCTTCCTTCGTGGTGGCGACTTTTTACTTTATTATTCAAAACTAGTATGCATACCCGCGCAATGCGCGGATAATTGATAAATATAATCATGAATATACAGGTTTATTAGATAATTTTATGATTTAGCATATTGTAAAATATATTGTGAAGCTTACATGAGAAAATGCTAACTTAGCATCTCAAATGGTTAAATTAGTTAATACTAATAAAAATATCAATATATAATCTTCATTCATTGTCTAAATATGTTAACCATAACTTTTAACATTATATAATTATTTACTTTATTTGTTTTACACATTATTCAAAATCATGAATTCCTCACATAATCCTCCCATCATCTTATATGCATTTTTTTTACTATAATACTTTCGTTAACTTTTTTATTTAGTATTTTACTTATAATGAATAATAATTTGGAATTACTTATATTTTGTTTCCAATATGGTATATTTAATTTTAGTTTTAGTTATTGATATTACGTACACATGAATTTAAATTATATTTGTTTTCATTTAACATTTATTAAGATTTCAGTTAGATAACCTTATCCGTAAAATATGTTTTGTTGAATCATAATTTAAAGACTTTCTCATAGCAAATTCAAATATGACACACACACACACACACACACACACACACACACACACATATATATATATATATATATACACACACACACACACAAAATAATTTTTTAGTCGTATACTTTTTTTCTTTTCTTGTTGCATATATTTTGTGTTTGCAGTTTTAAGTACCTTATCATACGATTATTTTTCAGTTTTTCAGTTTTTCAGTTATGTCCTTGCCCATCATTCCTCTGTTAATACATTATAAATTGATATTTTATATTGCTTAAACCTAAATTATTTTTATACTTTTATTTTATTACTCAAAATTGCTTCATTCTTTAAATTTATAAAATAAACATTATATCAACCGATATAAATAATGTAAATCAATCCAAACTTGAGATAGACCTAAGAATATTGGTGGCATCTAAACATAATAATTTAACAATCTTTTAGCAGGATTTTACTTAATTGCTTGAACTTTTTATAACTTATAAACAAAGATTTGATTCACTATTATTTTATAAATTGTATCGATATTTTATAATATTATATTAAAATCATATGCAACATGAAAATGAACTTTATCATACGATTTATCTTGTTGCATATATTTTGTGTTTGCAGTTTTAATTAAGTACCTTATCATACGATTATTTTCAGTTTTTCACTTATGTCCTTGCCTATCATTCCTCTGTTAATACAATATAAATTGATATTTTATATTTCTTAAACCTAAATTATTTTTATACTTTTTGTGAGAATGCACGGGAGAAAAAATATTATTGATTAGTTGTTAACAATGATACAATGAGCCATATATAATACATGTCCTACTCCTAATACATATGGGATTAGGGTTATTTACTACTATTTAACTATTTAACTAACACTTTTATTTTATTACTCAAAATTGCTTCATTCTTTAAATTTATAAAATAAATATCATATCAATCGATATAAATAATGTAAATCAATCCAAACTTGAGATAGAGCTAAGTATATTGGTGGCATATAAACATAATAATTTAACAATCTTTTAGCAGGATTTTACTTAATTGCTTGAACTTTTTATAACTTATAAACAAAGATTTGATTCACTATTATTTTATAAATTGTACTGATATTTTATAATTTTATATTAAAATCATATGCAACATGAAAATGAACTTTTGCTTCTAACTTCCCAATAATAAACTTGAGATGGATCATGATCTTACAAAGTTGTTGATATATTATTTCTCATTTTAGCCTCTAAACGCATTTATATGATCATACCCATCTTCTTTGAATGGCATGACTAAATTATCTTGAGATTTTTAAAATTAATAAATCAAATGGATTAATATAATATTAACACAGAAAAAAAATAGTACCCAGAATATTAAACAATTTAAGAACTTAAAGTTAACTAAAGCATACCTTAATTGTTGTGGCTTCATCATTTAGAGGAGAAGAGTCGTTTAGGAAAAAAGGGGGGAAAAAAAAGAAATCGGAGAAGTTCTTCATGATATTTCTTAAACAAAATAAATCTTTTTTTTATTTGCAATGAAGTCACAAATTTTAAAAAATTAAAAACAACGAAATATCCCAATACGTACTTAAAAGTTGAAATAACTATTAAGGAGACAAAATGGTGTAAACATTTTGGAGCACTCACAACCAAGCAATTGATTTTGACTTTGAATTTAAAAATAATTAAATAAATTGAGTTGAACACTTTATCGTGTAATTCAAATTCATCTTTCATGTTTCAAGGAAAAATATTTATATATTCTACACCATTACTCAAAAACAGAAACTTAAAACAGATTTTTACTTTTTTGTAAATTTGGTGGAATACTTTATCGTACAATTCAGATGCATATCTTCCATGTTTTAAGGAAAATATTCATCTTTCTGGATCATTACTCAAAAACATATATTCAAAATTAACAAATTCTATTAATTGTGAAGCAGTTATTTTTCAAATAACTTTTTAGCTCCTATTTTTTTTGGAGGCTTGTCCTAAACTACCATGTGGCATATTCTGATGATGACATTTGGCTTAAGGAGAGGGCTTTTTCCTCTACTTTTAATAATATATAGATTTTTTTTGGAGGCTTGTCCTAAACTACCATGTGGCATATTCTGATGATGACATTTGGCTTAAGGAGAGGACTTTTTCCTCTACTTTTAATAATATATAGATGTGTGTTTTATTATTTCGACAAAAGTTGGAATTTATTTGTAACATGTTGACTAAATAAAGACGACGAAGTCAATAGGAAATCCATTTTTCATACTTTGACCTCTGACTAGTTCTCCCTCTCCATCCATTAGTATTATATTTGCATCTTTAAGCTTATTCTACACCAAGAAGTCTGTAGGCACCTTGTTGTTCGTAATTTTGAACTTTTCTTATTGTTGTGTATAATAAATTGCACCGGAATATAAAGTATCTCAAATCTTTATTTCCACATGCTCTCCAAGTTTTTGCTAAAAAGGTGGGGGAAAATCAGAAATAGTCAGATTTACAACTAGAAATTGAATAATAGCCACAGAATTAGCAACTTTTTCATGTAAAGATAAAATCTGAATAAAAACAACCTTAAAAATTCGAAAAAATTCCAGTATAATATGTTGGAGTTCGAATTTTTACATAGATGATGTGTTGGAATTTCATAATGTGTTATAGTTTCAATATAATATGCTGAAAGTTTATATGTAGGAGCTCCGTAATCCAGCATATTATGCTGGAACTTTCTGTGTGCTGGAGTTCCAACATAATATGCTTGAAGTTTATACGCATGAGCTCCATAATTGTCACGATCCGAAATCCCAACCTTGGGACCGTGATGGCGCCTAACATTGCTTGCTAGGTAAGCCAACACCACAAAAATAATACAGAAGAAAAAGCAGTAAATATCAAATAACTAAACAGTAACCAGACATAAAATACCCTGAGATCTTGTGGCACTTACTACTACCTCCAAGACTGCTAAGCATATTAGCAATTGTTCGCCTTCCTCCGATTTTGATAGTAACGGAGGGCTCGATAGATACCGTTTCAGGTCTTTTAAGGCATGTTGCCATTCTGGAGTCCATTCGAAGTTGTTCTTCTTCTTCAGAAGTGAGAAGAAGTGATGACATTTTTCCAAAGACCAAGAAATGAACCTGCTTAGAGCGGCTAGTTTTCCAGTTAGCCTTTAAACTTCTTTTACGCTTGTCAGCTGGTCTGGGATGTCCTCGACGGCCGTGATCTTATCGTGAGACCTTTATCCCTCTTTGTGACACTAGAAAATCCAAGAATTTACCAGAGCTAACTCCGAACGCGTATTTTTCACGGTTGAGCTTCATGTTGTGCTTACTTAGGATATCGAAGGTTTCCTGGAGGTGTTTTAAATGGTCACCTCCATTCAAAGACTTGACCATCATATAATCTATGTGTACTTCCATTGTTTTACCTATTTATTTTTCGAACATTTTGTTCACGAGCCTTTGATAAGTGTATTCTGTGTTTTTGAGCCTGAAGGGCATCACATTATAACAATATGTGCCAAAGATCGTTATGAACAAAGTTTTTTCCTGTTCCTCTAGGTTCATCTTAATTTGAATATACCCGGAATAGGCATCAAAGAAACTCACTAACTCGTGCCCGACCATGGCATCAATTATTTGATCGATGTTTGGCAGTGGGAACGAGTCTTTCGGGCACGCCTATTCAAGTCCTTATAATCTAAGCACATTAAAAATTTATTATTCTTTTTCGGAAATACAACTATACTAGCTAGCCAATCGGGATACTTTACTTCCCGGATTGAGCCATGTCAAGTAACTGAGTTAACTCTTCTTTGACAAACCTGTTTTTGACCTTAACTATTGGGCGTTTCTTCTGCCTTACCGGTGGGACGCTTGGGTCTAGGCTTAGCTTGTGCACAACCACCTCTAGTGGGATACCTGTAATATCCATGTGTGACCATGCGAAACAATCAACATTAGTGTTAAGAAAATAAATAAATCCTGACCTAAACTCAGGGTTTAGTCCTGTCGCTGTAACGACCCGATCGGTCTTTTTGCTTTCTAGAATCTCGTTTCCCTAAATAAGACTTCTCGTACGTGCTTTTACTGTTTTATGACCTGCGGATTTGGTTAGTTCGGGATTTGGAAGGGTTCGGGTTGAAATCAGAACACTTGGTTTCTTAAGGTTGGCTTAAAAGGCTAAGTTTGACTTTGGTCAATATTTTGAGTAAATGACCTCGGAATCGGGATTTGACAGTTTCAATATGTTCGTATGATGATTTCGGACTTGGTCGCATGTTTGGATTGGGTTTTGGACGACCCGGGAGCGTTTCGGCGCCTAGTAGTGAAAGTTTGCATTTTGAATGAATTTCATAAGTTTGGGTTGAAGTGGTTTTTTACATTCTAGACGTCCTTTTGGGATTTTGAGTCTGGGAATGGCTCCGTATGGTGATTCTAAACTTAGGAGCTCATCCAGAAGTGAATTTGGAGGTTCGTAGGTAGTTTCGGACTCATTTAGCGAAAGTTAGAATTTGAAATTTTTGGAAAGTTTGATCGAGGGTTGACTTTCTGATATCGGGTTCGGATTTCGGTTTCGGAAGTTGGGGTAGGTCCGTAATTTCATTTAAGACTTTCCCGCAAAATTTGGTGTCATTCTGAGTAGTCTAAGTAT